AGGTCTTGATCTTTTTTATTGCCATGAATTTTAGACCCATGGCATTTCTTGTATGTATCATATCGAAATGTTTTGATAAATTGTGTGAGTGAAGGCAGTTTTTAATATTTCTTATAGGTTTGCCTACTCTAGTTTTGAGGGCTCTTTTGGTCAGTTTAATATAAAATTTGTTGCAAGGACAGCTTAATAAATAGATCAGACCTGTTGTATTGCAATTTAGAAGTGTTTTTATTCACATTTTTTCTTTTGTTTGATAACTGCACTACCAAGTACTTTTTGTTACCATGCTACTAGCCTATAAATGAAATAATATATCTACCAGAAGCTACTAGTCGTGTAAAGTTACTGAAAATGTAAGCTCTCCCCCTGCTTTCAAACAATACCGGATGTTTCACTAGGTGATAGCATTCTTAAAGTTGGAGGAGGAGGGTGGGGGGGTAGAGCAGAGTGAATGGCCATACCATTTCAGTGTTAGCATTAGGTTACTAAAGATTGCTATAGCAGTTTTACATTATTTCTAAAAATATGTATTATTTAACTGTATTTACTGAATGTGAGCATTATGCTCAAATGGAGACATTGTTTTACTTTCTTTTTTTTTTTGCTTTTTATTTCAAACTTGTACCTGCCCTGCATACCTTTTGTATTATTTGTGTGGAGCAGGCCTTGGTGCAATGTCATCATCAATACATTGCTGGATTGTTATTCTTCCCATCCCTCCCACCAGCCCCATCCTCATTTGTATGTACCGTATTTATCGGCGTATAACACGCACTTTTTCTCCCTGAAAATAGGGGAGAAATTGTGGGTGCGTGTTATACGCCGGCCCTTTAAATACTGCAGCCGCCTGAGCGCTCTGTCAAGAGCGTCAGGCGGCTGCAGTTGGTACTCACCTCCCCTGTAGCGTGGCCGAGCCGCTCTGCTGTCCGCGGTGGCCGGCCGGACTGATAGGAAGGTGCACGCTCAGTGTGCACCTTCTTGTCAGTCCGACCGGGTACAGGAAACAGAAACTCCTGTTCCGCGCGGAACAGGAGTTTCTGTTTCCTGTACCCGGTCGGACTGACAGGAAGGTGCACACTGAGCATGCACCTTCCTATCACTCCGGCCGGCCGGCCACCACGGACAGCAGAGCGGCTCGGCCACGCTACAGGGGAGGGGGGAGTGGGGAGTAAGAGAGGGGGGGCTAAGAAGAGGAGGGGGGTAACAAGAGGGAGGGGGGGTAACAAGAAGGGTGTGGGTAACAAGAGGGTGGAGTAAGAAATGGGTAAGAAGGGGTGGGGGAGTAAGAAAGGGGGGGTAAGAGGAGGGAGAGTAAGAAGAGGGGGAGGGGGAGTAAGAAGAGGGTAAGAGGGGGAAGGGGAAGTAAGAAGAGGGGGAGGGGGGAGTAAGAAACGGGGGTAAGAAGTTCTTTATTTGAAATTTAAAGGACCACTCTAGGCACCCAGACCACTTCAGCTTTATGAAGTGGTCTGGGTGCCAGGTCCCTCTAGGATTAACCCTTTTTTTTTATAAACATAGCAGTTTCAGAGAAACTGCTATGTTTATACTGAGAGTTAATCCAGCCTCCAGAGCCTCTAGTGGCTGTCTCATTGACAGCCGCTAGAGGCGCTTGCGTGCTTCTCACTGTGAAAATCACAGTGAGAGCACGCAAGCATCCATAGGAAAGCATTGTAAATGCTTTCCTATGCGACCGGCTGAATGCGCGCGCGCGGCTCCTGCCGCGCGTGTGCATTCAGCCGATGACGTCGCGAGCAAGGAGGAGAGGAGGAATACAGCTCCCCGCCCGGCACTGGAGAAAGGTAAGTGTTTAACCCCTTCCTCTCTCCAGAGCCCGGCGGGAGGGGGTCCCTGAGGGTGTATAACACGCACCTCATTTTAAGAAGGAAATTTCAGGGGAAAAAAACTTAAAGGACCACTATAGTGCCAGGAAAACATACTCGTTTTCCTGGCACTATAGTGGTCCTTTAAGTTTTTTTTCACTGAAATTTCCTTCTTAAAATGAGGTGCGTGTTATACGCCGGTGCGTGTTATACGCCGATAAATACGGTATATTGATAAATTATAAAATTAAGTATTTTTAGTTGCTAACTCAGGAATTTCATTTATCTCAGAAAGAGTGTTTTAATTATTTGAGGATAAAAAAACTTTATTAAACAATATCTTCTTTATAATCCTGTAGGTGGTATATAAATGATAAGTGTGTTATTAAACAATGAAAAGGTAGGATAAATTGCATCAAAAGCTAGGAATGCGTTGTTAAAAATAGAAGCTCCTACTAAAAATATAAATGTTCAAAAATGGGAAAATAATTGAATGTTAAAATCTTAAAAGCAGATTGGGGTCAAGTGTTATCACAAACTAGTAAAATTATTCGCTGCCTAAATATTTTAGAAGTAGTATTTAAAGTGCTGAACCATTGGTATATGGTCCCATCAAAAATGTGAAACATGTATAACTCTAGTTCTCCGATCTGTTGGAGATGTAACAGGGATGAAGGATCTTTTCTGAATATATGGTGGGAGTGTGAGAAAGTCAAAGAGTTCTGGTTTCTGGTCTTCAGTGGATTAGAGTGTATCATAGGGAAAAAGATTCTTAGAGGTCCATATAATGCTTTATTACAACTCAACCTACAAACGGAAGTGTTCGAAGAATTTTGAATTTGAACAATTAAAAATACAAATTCTATACCAACTAAGGATGGAAGCTTTAATGTTTGTGCCAAAAAATAATCTGGAGTTATGCAAATATTGGATAGAGAGAGTGGAGTGAAGTTCCAAAAAAAGGTGTCAATGCAATGTTAATGAACTGTAATGTTTTGTAAAGTAATGTAATGTAAGTGATGTGCAATGCATTGAACTGCATACTGTGTTGATAGTTGGAAATAAATAAGTAAAAAGAAAGTAAAAAAAAAAATTATAAAACCAGTAAATTTGTACTGTTGTACTCGGGAGACTTTGCTGATCATAAATGTGAGTGTTTCAAAACATTGAAATGTATCATGATAATATTATCAGTGAAAGTTAAGATTATGTGTGAAAAATGCAAAAAACAAATATGAATGCCAACTTTGGCCAGGGTTTGTGACTAAGTAACTGCTAAAAACAATCTTCTTAGTTGTCTATTTTTGCAAATGGTATGTGTGACGGAGCTCCAATACTCCGACTGAGTCCCTCCGCCAAGTCCGCTTCCTTGTAGCTGTCCGGGACCCTGGAGCACTTCAGACCCAGGCTTTACTGAGGGTCTTGTCCAGCCTGATCCAGGCTACTGGACACCGTTTTCATCAATCAGAGCTCTTTTTCCAAACACCAGAAGACACTTGGTGAAGGTTAAAACAACAACTCCCTTTAATGAACATAGCACACATATTTATGCCCCCGTAAGCCTCATTTACATACAAAAGAGCACTATAGTACATAGAAGGGTGGAGCCACACCACACAAGGGCTGAAACACAAATGGGAGATTGAGGAGGGACAGGGCAGCTAGTTTAAACTGGTCTGGCAGTGTCTCTGGGGCAATGCCCTGCTGGGGAAACAATAGGACAGGAAAAAAGGGAAGGGAAAGGCACAAACAATCAATACATTCAACATACCCTTGCACCAAAACACAAGAGGAATCTGAAGATCCACACATAGTGTCTGTTTTCCATTCCCAGTGACGGTGACTACAGTCAAAGTGGTGTTCATTTTTATTCCTAGGCTGCAATATGGTGTCAAAGGCAACATAGGCCTAGCAACCTAAATTGGCAAATTTCAATGTGTAAAAACCGAAAAGGGGAAATACCTATAATTGACCATATAAGTTTCAAAACCCCATGAAACCTGTATACGGGAGGTACTGTTGTAATTGTGAGACATTGCTGAACACATACAAAAATGAGTGCTTTATTGCAGTAAAAGCTAACAACATTATGATATTTACAGTCAAAATGCTATGCAAAGCTAATAAAATAACAAAATATCTTAATTTCTCACACCTTTTAGATTTTATTTAAATTAAATTAGGTTTCATGGATAAAGATTTGGTGTGAAATAAAAGTCCTGTTTATCTTGAACAAAATGGTATATAATTAATGTGGTAAATTATTATTGAACAGACATAGCTCAAATTCTAGGTTTTGTTTTGATTTTGTTTTGATAAGAATTTGTACAATTGCCTCTGTCCTTAAGGGGTTAAACATCTGTACAGACTCTAGTGAAACCACCTCTTCAGGGAGAGAATTCCACATCCTTATTGTTCTTACTGTAAAAATATTCCTTTGCCTTAGCCTAAATCTTCTTTCTACCAATCTAAATTATTGACCTTGTGTACTGTGAATAGTCTTGTTTATGAATAGATTTCCAGACAGTGGTTTATATTGGCCCTGAATATGTTTGTATAATCCTATTTTCCTGGCTAATCATGGCAGCATATACACATGGGTTAGCTCCTCCCCTACAGCCGATAGGACAGGAAAACCACCAAGGTTTTAAAAGGAGGCTCCATCCCTAAGGTCCTCAGTCTTTTTCCTGTC